TCTCTGAACTATGACATTTCCCAGACCCTTTCCACTTTTAATTTTGATACAGGGTCTTGCCAAAGTCCAGGTTGGCTCTGAACTCACCCTGGAGTCCACACAGGCCTTTAATTTGTAATTCTCTTGCCTCAGCCTTCCGCTTGGGATTACAACCCCACATATACCTGCTCTGTTCTTTTAATCACAATCTTAAAATACGAAAGAAATAGAGAGAGGAGAGGTGGGAATATACCTTAGTGGGATCACACTTGCTAAGTGTGATGAGGCTCTAGGTACCGTGCAACCACAAGAGAAATAAATGAATGAAATAAAAGAAGACTTAACATATACGTTTTTAAATAATCTGGATTTCACCTTCAACTACTATAAACTGTTTTGTTTTGCGCAGGGTACTGAACCCAGGAATTTACACATATGCAGAAAAGCACTCTACTATTGAGCCACATGCCCCAGCTTACTTTTTAAGTTAATACAAAACAGAGTTTGAAGCCAGCCTGGTCTACAGAATGAATTCCTGGACAGCTAAGACTAGACAAAGAAACCCTGTCTCAACAAACAAACAAACAAACAAACAAACAGAAGACAAAACTGAATCTTTATGTAGGGCAAGTGAAATCCTTTTATTATACTACATACGAATTCTCAACAATACCAAAAGCTCTGATTCAATTTCTCCTAAATGTTTTCTGGCTCCATTGGTGGCTCTACCTAAAAATCATCCCATTATGAATTTGCACAAGTGAATTTCCAAGAACTTGAAAGGCAAAAAGGACATTTCCCCTGTCCAATTAGCAGTACCCGATTCCCCTGTTTTCTTTATTCTTTCTCTTTTAATTTTGTGCCCCCATCCCGCCCCTTTCTGAGACTCATTTTATCAGAGGGCACTGCATGCCCTCTTCATTTCTCATACAGGAAAACCAGAAAGTCAGTGCAGTGAAAGTAGACTCTGCGGTATTACTGGCTTATCTGGTAAGAGTTCCTTGCAGTTGACCTGTCAAACACTAGTGATTACTTTACTGCAGGTCAGACTTGATAGCTGCCCTCACTTACCCTGAAAATGGAGTGGGAGATAAGCAATTGTTTGTCAAAGGTTTCACTGCCATAGTAACTTAGAAACACCTGTAGAGTCTCCTATACATCCACTCTTCCCTGAAAAAGTGTCTGGTTGCAGTATGCAGAAAAAATGCACACAAGCACCTGTAGAGTCTTCTATACATCCACTCTTCCCTGAAAAAGTGTCTGGTTGCAGCATTCAGAAAAAATGCACACAAGCACCTGAAGAGTCTCCTATACATCCACTCTTCTCTGAAAAAGTGTCTGGTTGCAGTATGCAGAAAAAATGCACACAAGCACCTGAAGCGCCATGCAGCCACATCTAAGCAGCACAAACCCTAACATAACAATGTCCCGTAGGTAGGAAGTTCTGACTGCTACGGCAGAGGGCATGGGTTCCGTTCCCAGCAACTACATGGCAATTCACAGCCATCTGTAACTCCAGAACCAGGAGATCTGACATCCTCTTCTGGCCTCCACAGGCACCAGGCACACATGTGGTGCAAAATACATACATGTAGGGAAACACTCATACACATACACACACAAAATATAAATTTTTCTCTCTCTTTTTTTTGTTTTGTTTATTTTGTTTTGTTTTCCAAGACAGGTTTTCTATGTGTAGCCTTGGCTGTCCTGGACTCACTTTGTAGACCAGGCTGGCCTCGAACTCAGAGATCTACCTGCCTCTGCCTCCCCGAGTGCTGGGTTTACAGGTGTGCGCCACCACACCTGGCTAATAGAAATCTTTTTAAAATGTTATTTTGCAAAGTTTCTAACTGCTAAGCCATCTCTCTAGCTCCAATAATTTTAAATTTTATGGGCATGGGTATTTTGCCTACATGTACATACGTGCACTATGTGTGTGTGTGTGTGTGTGTGTGTGTGTGTGTGTGTGTGTGTACCCACAGAGGCCAGAAGAGGATGTTGGATGCCCTAAAACCATGGTTACAGATGGTTGTGGGCTGCCATATAGGTGCTGGGAATCAGACCTGTGTCCTCTGAATGAGCAGCCAGTGCTCTTAACCACTGAGCCATTTCTCCAGCCTTCCAAAATAAATATTTTTAAAAAACTCATACTTGGGGATGGAGCCATATTTCAGCAGATAAGAAAATTTGTTACTCCTTGAACCATGCATAAATCCATTTCTGGGGTTCTGACATTCTCTTTGGTCTCCAATGGCACCAGGCATGCACCTGCATGCAAATTAAAAAAAAAAAAATCTTACTATCATAGCCAGGCAGTGGTGTCTCATGTCTTTAATCCCAGCACTTCAGGAGGCAGAGGCAGGTGGATCTCTGAGTTTGAGGCCACCCTAGTCTACAGAGTGAGGTCCAGGACAGAGCTTCAAGGAAACCCCATCTTGAAAAACCAAATCAATCAAATAATAAAAATAAAAATTCTTATTTATGTTAGGTATGATGAATCTTGACTTGGGAAACTGAGTCTACGAAAATTCCAGGCTGTCTTGTGCTACACAAACACCTGAAAAACTCATGAGTATGTTTTTACTGAGACAGGTTCTCTCAACCACACATGTGATACTGGTTGTCCTGGAACTTTAAATTTACGAAGATCTGTTGGCCTTTTACTCCTGAGTACTGCAATTAAAGGTATATGACACCATTCCTGATGGCATGGTTTTGTTTTTGTTTTTTGTTTTTTTGAGATAAGAGTGCACGATCAGAGATAAATTACTACAGAAGTCATATCATCTGAGTTTTCTACAGCTTTGTTGATGTTGTTTTTTTACTTTCCACTCTTACTGCTAAGATCAGGCTGGCCTGGAACTTTTAGCAATCTTCATGCCTCTGGCTCTTGAACGTTTGGGACTGCAGGCATGCTCTACACCTGGTCTTTGTGTGTTTTGTTTATTTTTAAAACCTTTGTTTTAGATTTATTTTAAATTATGTGGAGTGTTTAGCCTGCATGGGTGTCTGTGCCTGAGGAGGCCAGAAGAGAGTGTCAGTCTCCCTGGAACTGGATGTATTGGTATTGTGAGCCACCATGTGGGTGCTGGGAAACCAACCCATCCTCTGCAAGAACATCAAGTATTCTTAACCACTAAGCCATCTCTACCCCACCCCAACTTTGTGTTTTTGATACATGGTCTTAATATGCAGCCCAGACTGGCTTAGAACTTGCCATCTTCCTGCCTATCTCCTGGGTGCTAGTATTACAGGCAGCATGTACCAACCTCACCCAACTTGAATTTCTTTACACACACACACACACACACACACACACACACACACACACACACGTGCACACATACACAGAGGCCAGTGAGGTGGCTGATGAGGTAAAAGTACCTGCTGCCAAGCCTGGCACCGAAGTTCCATCCCCAGGATCTACATGGTAGGACTAGCTACCCCTGACCTCCACATTCATGCACACAGAATAAATAAAATGTAAAAACTATTTTTAATGGAAGAGTACAGATGTAGCTCAGTTCATATAGTGCCTAGTATGTACAAGGCCCTGGGCACAAGTCTCAGTGCCTTATAAAACAAGACATTGGTGGTACACTCTCAGTACTTGGGAGGTGGAGGCAGGAGGATCAGAAGTTTAGGGCCATCTTCTGCTAAGATGCAGTGAGTCTGAGGCCAAATCTCAATAAATACATTGAATATGTAAAGGATTAGATCCAGAGTAACAATTTCACAGGAAAAGTGAAATAACCACATGGTATAAGAACCTTCTTTTTAACAGAATTTTCATTTATAAAATAGGGATCCTACCAACAGAATTGCCTACAAAACTCTCTACTTCTTGGCCCCCAAGAACGTCCTAAGTTCATAGCCCTAGAGCATTAACTTTTCTCCTGTTCTCTGTAAAATGGGTGTCCTCAAACTCTTGGGTTGTCTGGTGTAGTTTTTCAGAAGGAAATGAGTTTCCTTATAACAAATGAATCTAGCTTCTCCTACTCCTAATCATCTTTTTCGTATCACTCCGTGTCATAATAATGTTGTGTCTTCTTTTTCTAGCTTAAGAGCCATTTCTTTCAACTGAATGATCTTCCATGAAGGAGTCTTTGTGTCCACAGATCATAAAAGGTACTATCGCAGCTGGGTTTGAATTCTTCCTCATGTATTCTGTCCTTAGCATGATACTAAGAACAATGTACATAAATGTGAGATACCTTCCTTGCTGTCTACCCAATGCAGTTTTATACCTTTACATTTCTGTCCAGTTCTTTAGATCCGGCTGCAGCCTGGAAGGTGAACTGTTTGCATACCCACTCACCAATGCCCATCTCCCAGCCACGTCTTTCGCCACCGTTCAGGTGTAATAAAGCCTTGACAGGAACACCTCATCTCATCTTTTGTTTCCACAAGTCCATCAGTTTTTGGTTTTTTTTGTTTGTTTGTTTGTTTGTTTGTTTTGTTTTTTTTCCAGAGCTACAAAGGTAGGCCAGGGCTGACCAGGATGCACCACTTGGGGCTGGTAGAGTAAACCAAACGCTTATAGGATGTTCCTTTTTCAAGCTTTTACCTGAACACGAGTTTCTTATATATTTGCTGCCTCAAAGAACCATCTCATTCTACGCGACGAGTCCTTTGTCTGAAGTTTCCACACCTCACAAATCCTCATCCACAAGGCGCCCATCCTTACACAGGTGGGGTGGTCTGCTCCGCACTGGGCGGGGCAGCCTAGGCGTTCACATCTGTATAGGGATGGGTTGGGTTCAAGATCTTACAGGATCCAACATTCTGCGTCCGTAAGTGCAGGTCCTACCTCTGAGGTAGAGAAAACGAGCTTGGGGCGACCCTCGTACTCAGTGCAGCGCACATACTGGCTTTCAGCACAGCCCCCCCCTAGCCAGGGCCCCGCGTATACTCGCCTCCGACCTCAGGAGCCGGGCGGCGGCAGAGGCCGGGCCAGCGCCCGCGCCCGGCCGCGCCATGCCCTCCTTCGCCCTCACCCGCCGCCGGCTGCCTCTTACCTGGCACGCTGGCATCGCCCGCCCGGAGCCGCACGCGAGACCATGGATCCGGACGGGTTTCGGAGGCCGCCCGTCCACCTTGAGGGAGGCTAGCGCGGATGCGCGGGCGCCGGAATCCAGCGCACCGACACCGGGAACACGCCGCCTGGTTTCTAAGGAACAGGGGGCTCTGGTGGGGAGGGGCGGGGCGGCCGGAGGACAGCGCATGCTCTGTGACGGGGGCGGGACCCCGCGGGGAGGGGCCGGGATGGAGAGCTGCGCATGCTCGCGCCTTAGGGCGGCGCTTGTGAAACGGGCTGCGAGGCGGCTGCTTTCTTGATTTCTGCGGTGGAGGTATTGATGCTAGGGAGCGTCCAGCGTCGGACTGGATCCTATTTGCCGACTGGCATCAAGGATGTAGATGCTTCTGAGGTTTTTCCTGGACTGAAGGAAGGTCTGGACAGCGACCTATGTCTGTAGAAGCCCAGATATCTCCAACTGGTCAGATTTTTTGACTCGGAAAGATTGGTTTTCCTGTTTGCTCAGGTGTCACCGTGTCGCTTCCTCTGGGCGTTCTTTGGTTGTTCCTTAAATGTCATTTCTCTTTTAGACTGTGATCTCAGGTTACCTTTAACTCCTTATGGAACCTGTGTTCCTCCAAGGAAATAGATTTTGTAATGCGGCCATCCTTTACCAGACAGCTGTTAGGGTGAAGCCGGTAGACCCTAGTGCGAAATTGATTCTGTAGAATGTGACTGGGGTTTATTCTGTGTGGGAAGACTCTCCTGGTTACTTCTCAGCTGCAAAAAGGGAAGGATCCCAGCCCTCATCCCACAGCAGGCCGGGGTGGCAGACTATGCCTGCTGACCTGAAGGGAGCTCTGTGACCCTTTTACCAGTTGTAGGACTGGCCACCATCACCACTGTCTGTTGCACCTGGGCAGGTTCCAGAGTGAAATGAAATAACCTCGAACCTTTCTCTTCAAATGGGCCTTTATCTCCTGTCCACTGGAGACAGAGAAGATCAGAGTTAAAACGCAGATGCATTTTATATTTCTTGATGAAGGTAATTCTCTAGATTACGGTTTTTCAGCAGTGATACTACTGCCATTTGAAGCCATTGTTGAGCAGAACTGTTTGCTATAGGATGGTTAGCAATATCCTTGGCTTTTACCCAGTACATGCCATTAGCACACAAAGCCAGTTGTGACTACCAAAAGTTACCTTGTGCTAATCTGATTTCCCATTTCTTCCTCTACATTAACTCCTTAAAAATTGTAGGTGCTTGTAGTGGTGACACATGCTTTTAATCCCAGCACTTGGAAGGTAGAGGCAGGTGGATTTCTGAGTTTGAAGCCAGCCCGGTCTACAGAACAAGTCCCACAACAGCCAGGGCTACATAGAGAAACCCTATCTCAAAAAACAAACAAACAGAAAAAAAAAAGGAAAAATTGTAGGTACTGCGGTGTAGCCTAGAGACAGAGCATTTGCCTAGTGTATATGAGAACCTGGATTTTAGCCTTAGCACTGCCAAACAAAACCAAAAGCATCTATAAGATGCCACTGAGTGAAACATTCTCTAGTAATGCTGATTTAGGAAAATGCAGTGTTACGCTGCACACTTTAACTCAGGGCCTTTAGAGCTTTTAAATAGCTGGTGATTGATTTTCACTATCATCATCCAAGAGTTTTCCTGATGTATAGACCAATGAAAATTCCCTTTTCAAGAACATGTCTCCTTGATCTATGACTCTGGTTCCTTCAGCAAACCTTATTATACTAACTTAAGGCTGGCTATTCATGCTGACTCAAGCAGCAGGGAAACTTCATAAACCCTCAAGGCACAAAACCCCACCAATCCCTAAGCTCCCTCAAACTCAGGACTTGAAATCCCACCAATCCTCACCTTGGAAATTTCTGACCTAAAAAGCTCCATCCCCTAAGAAATCCTATATAAAGACTGTGTCTGCGCAGTTCCCTGCTGTCCTCTCCCAGGTGCAGGGGCAGCCAGCCCTAGATTTGTCCCTCCACACCCTGGAACCTCCCAATAAATCTTTTTTATGAGTGTTGCTGCTTTGTGTGACTCTCTTATCAGAAGAAGACAAGAAGCAATGAATCTAAAAAGGGAAGAGGCAAAAAAGTGGAGTGGGGTTGGGGCTCCTGAGCTCCTCAACTCAGCTAGGGATACCTTCCCGAGAGCTGCAGTGCCTCTTCTGAGGAGGCCTCCTCTCAGAGCTCTGTGGTTCCTGGGCTCCCATGTCGTAGGATGCCCTTCCCTAGAGACATTGTCCCACCCCAGAGCTGTGTGCTTCCTGGGCTCCTATGTCTCAGGATATCCTTCCATTGGGAAATATTATCCCCTCATAACTGTGTGGTCCTGGGCTCTTGTGTCCCAGAACAGCCTTCCATCCAAGCAAGAAAGCCAACATTAGCTACCACCTGCTTCTTTTTGTAGTATCATTAACTATCATAGTCACTCCAATCAAAGCTTGTTTACCTTGTTTCTTTAACATTCAGTTACTCATCTTGTGCCAACATTTATCTTGTATTTCTCAACCTTGACTTTTATGTATTTATTTATTTTGTGGACTACTGGTCGCATCCTAGTTGCTATCATTATCGTCTCTGTGGTCTTACCTCATGGTAGATACTAGCATAATTTTTTGTATCTGCACAAAGCTTTCTGCACAAAGCCCTAGTTTTATGGGTTCAGGAGACCCAGTCAAACAAGGCTTATGGAAGGACTGTGACCCTATTTGCTTAGCCCTACTTATGCATGCTATCATTCCGTAGTTGCAATGATTGGGCACATTAACTTTACCTTTTAAGGCTGGGAAGCAAGCCCAGAAAATCAACTTCCCTTTTCTTTCTTTGTTGCTAGGGATTGAACCACAGGATTTATGTGTGTGAGGTGTCCTGGTTTCTTTTTCTGTTGGTGTGATAAAATACCCCAACAAAAACAACTTAAGGGAGGAAGTTTATTCGGCTCACAATTCCCAGTTACAGTTCATCATTATGGGTAAGTCAAGGTGAAACTTGAAGACATTAAGTCATACTACCTCAAGAACAGGAAACAAGGTGCTGGAGAAATAGTACAGCAGTTAGAGCACTTGCTGATCTGGGTTCAGTTCCCAGCACCCTTATAGCTCATAACTCCAAATCATGCACACAAACAAAACATACAGATAAAAACAACAAAACCAAGGAGTAATGTATGTCTACCACTGCTCAACTCGCTTACTCAGTCTTAGTTCATGATCCTCCGCCTAAGGAATGGTCTGTACATTGTAACAGGCCCCAGGTCAGAGACACCATTTTAACCTTGGAACCCAGAAATAGACCCTAACACCTGCCAAAATGGAAACAAAGACCTAATAATCCATCAAAAACCTAATTCACAGTTCCAGAATCTTGGAAAGTCTCTAAATATACTTGGTTTGTTGTGGGTTTTTTTTTTTCTCCTGTAGTTTTGTTCTCAATAATTGTTCTTATAACTAAAGAGTGTCAAACAAAATGTAGTTTTTCCACAAAAAAGGCAAAAAGTAGTGAGTCTTGGATCTGTCTGATTTAGGTAAGTGTCCCATGCTGTTGCCAGCCAGCAATACAGACTTTCTGTTAGACTCTTAACAGTTTCTGTGTGTCGCGCTGCAGAGATGGTTTAGTGTTTAAGAGGACTGACTCTTCTGGGGTTCTAGGGTTCTCTGAGTCTAGTTCCAACATCCACAGACAGCTAATGAATGTCTTTAATTCCAGATCCAGGAGATCTGACACTCTTTCCTGGCCTCTGAGGGCACCAGGCACACATAGTACCTAGACATACATGCAGGAAACAGGCTAATACAAATAAAATAATTTTTAAAAAATGAGTTTCTTTTTGTTCTCTGATGGAATTACTTGGAAACATTCTGGAGGCTCCAGTGAGATGAATGTCCAAAACCCAAATAGTCATCAAGCAATTTTCCTAGACCAACCCCGTATCTAGGTCTATAAAACTTCAGTCATCAATCCAGCAATCCTGTTGCTAGACAATAAGCCAACAGAACCTCTCCACAATTGCCTAGAACTGACTGATATGGTCCAATCCATCGGACCTGACCTAACAGAAGTGGAAGAGGTACCGTACACTGATGGGATCAGTTCTGTTCAAGATGGAATCAGGTATCCTGTGGCCACAGTTATCACCCTGGACAGGACAGTTTGGGCCGAGTCTCTCAGCTGAGGAACTTCAGCTCAAAGGGCTGAGCCTCTGGCATTCACCCAGGCACACTGCTGGAGGAAAGACGAATTTATAGCGATGCACACAGATGGTATGGATTTGTCACAGCCCATGGCCATGACATCCTCTATAGGGAGAGGGCTTCTCACCTCAGTCAGAAGGAAATTAAAAAAGGAGGAGGAGGAAGAAGAAACAAAACAAAACAAAACAAAAAACCAGCTATTAGAGGCCACAGAGCTGCCAAACGAGGTACCCATTGTGCTCCACAAAGGGCATCAAAAGGGGGAATCCCCAGAGGCCCAAGGAAAACAGGGCAGCAGACATCCACCCAGAAGGCAACCCTAGAACTAGTTGGGCCTCTTCAGATCTTGGTCACCCCAAACCGAATTGCTCAAATGCCCAAACTACACACAGAAGCCAAATGGACAGAAAGGAAGATGCCAAGCAGAACACAAGTGGTGGTTCTTACCAAAAACACTGTTTCTTGGAAGACAAATGTTTACCAGACGCCACCAAACCATCCACTCAGGGGCATCCAAATCTGCTGAGTTCCTCAGGCCCAGTTACTACATCCTTCAACTAGACAATTTTGTCAAAGACATTACGTCTAGATGTACCATTTTTACAAAAGTGAACCCCAATGGAGGAAAAAAGCTCTGGAAGGAAACCACACTCAAGAAATCACTCCCAGAGAACATTGAGAAGTAAACTTTACAGAGAGAAAACTCATACTTCTGACAGACAATGGTGACTCACACCTTTAATCCCAGCACTTGGGAGGCAAAGGCAGGCAGATCTCTGTGAGTTTGAAACCAACCTAGTCCACAGAGCTAGTTCAAGGGCAGCCAAGGCCTACACAGAGAAACCCTGTCTCAAAGACCAAAAAGGTTCTTGGGTATAAGTATTTGTTTTCATAGATACCTTCCCTGGATGGGTGGAATTCTATCCCACCCAAATGGAGACAGCCTCATTAGTCACCAAGA